GCGGCGGTTTGGTGGAAAAACGCTACCCCCGCGGGGGTCGTGGCGTAGCGCTGGTGGTCGCGGAGGAGCTGCGCGAGGGCCGCGTGGGCGCCGCGAAGGCGGGCCTTTTTGCCCTTTTCGGGGGGGGAGGGGGGGCCTCGCCCGCCCCCCCGCGCAGAACCGCCGAGGCGAGTTCGAAGTCCCCGCGCTGCATCGCCGGCGGGACCTCTTTTTTTTTTTAGTGGAGGTGGGGTGGTTTTCGCTGCTGGTGTGCAAAACGCCCTCAGACACAATCCCCAAGAGCAATTCACCCCCTACTCAAGGCGTGAAGACTACGGTGGGGTGAAGAAAAAAGCAATAGACAAGAAAGCGGATGAATGAAGCACTATCGGCATTGAAGGTATCCACAGGGGATCATTAAGACGAGAACACACCGCATCGGGTGCATCATTCGCACTATCCTACCAGTTGTTAAGACCGTGGGGTTACACACAACGGCGGAAACGACCTCAATATTCCTTCCTTAAGGTATTTCATCGGAATTACTAAACACACAGAAAAGGATAAGGATAACGAATTGATCCTCATTCCTCGATTTGCTAATATAAGGATGATAATAGTCAACCTCAACGCAAATAACAGAAATGATTAATATTGCTGCACAACTCACAAACACCTTCTTCTCGTTTATTCCCTGTGTGTTCTGTTTGAATATTTCATTGATCACATTAAATTCAATCCATCTGATTCTGCTCTCTCAATTGAGAGCACAGAAAATATCCTACAGAAGTTGACACTTACACTCATAATCGATGAGTTTCCCCCCTTCTCCCCCAAATAACCTTTTATGAATTCTAATCCTTTTTGGGGTGTCATTTTTTAATTGTATAGAGGACCTTTTCCCCTTCCATTCGATTGATGTGCACTTGATTGTTTTCCGCCTTTACGAGATACTACTCGCAGCGGAATGTAAAAGCAGTGATGAGAGACGTCGCCGTTTTAATGCCATCACGTTGTCATTCGCAGAGTGCGCGGGATCTGCGGAGTTCGCGCACGCGATCAACCGATTTGGATTTTCTTGTCGTATTCGCAAAGTTCTTCGGGTTACCGGCGCACCGACCTCCTTTTCCTTTTTCTTCTCCGTTTCCTCCTCGGCCTCTCGCTCCGTGAACCATTCATCCGGCACCTCATCAAAGCAAAGCTTCTGTTCATGGTGCTTTTGAAGAAACACGTTGAGCAGCTCCTCTTCAGGGAGTTGTTGTGACGAGGACACCTCACTTTCCGCATTTTTAAGGCCACCATGAAGATTATTATGATGAATATTCGCGTCTTTTCCGCTGCCTTTCGCCATGCCTTCGTTGATTTCCTTTTCCGCCTTATACATCGCCGCCTTTTCGGAGCGCAGCTTATCGTCGGTAATCCAAATCCCGCTCGACTCACTGAGATTACTGCCTGTTTTCATCTTTCGCGCCTCCTCGAGGGCGCGGAGGCGGTTTTGCTTATTTTGCAGCGCATTTCGCCGCGTGATGGCGGCGATTTTGTTGAGGTACGCACACCGCTGGGGGTCGGTGACGTAGTGGTAGAAGTCCTCGGCCTGCCGTGCGGCGCTCTCCCAGCTCTGCAACGTCTCTTGGTTCACCACGTCGTCCAGGAGGGGGGGCTGGGAGCTGAACTGTGACAACTGCTGTGGTGAGGCCGCGGGGTTCTGCTGGGAGGTGAACTGTGACACGTCCTGGGAAAAGGCCTGTGAGCCGTCCTGTGTGAAGGACACGGGGTTCTGCTGTGGGTTCTGCTGGGAGCTGAACTGTGAGCCGTCCTGGGAGAAGGCCTGTGAGCCGTGCTGTGTTAAGGCCGCGGGGTTCTGCTGGGAGGCGAGCTCAGCGCTGAGCTGGGAGGGGACGAGCTGGCGTTGGAGGATCTTCTTGGGGAGAAAAGGCGGGAGGGCGGCCTCCGCGAGGGGGTCGGGGCCGCCCCCCTGCCCGTCCCGCCGGAGCAGCCGCGTCTCGGCGCGGAGGTTTTGGATGCGGTTGAGGGTGA